CTACGGTCTTAGCCCAAATGATATTATCCGTAATTGTGTCTGGTAGCGTTTCCATCTCCTGCTGAGGAATGGTACTGGCTGGTAACTCATACGAAAGCCAACACGCATCCATCATATTGGACACGGGAGGTGGTTTATCAATATGTCGACATATGACGCAAAATGAATCGGGCTCTTGAATGACGGGCGGGACCACTTGAACGATGACAGTGGCCTCTTGAACTGTAGGAGGGGCTTCTTCGATGATGATAGTGGCCTCTTGAACGATAGGAGACACCTCTTGAATGATGATAGGTGCATCAGGCTTATTCTTACGGAGTCTTGGCACTAGTGGGGTGAACGGAGACGTAATGGCACGTGCACGACGTCTGATGCGTAGAGTATTTTTAGTATAGTATTAAATAAATTTACCTCATTGCGTAGAGTATTAACCTCATTCTGCAACAATGAAACAATCTCGCGTAGTATATATAAATAAGTAAATAAATAAATAATGCCGAAAAAAAGTTATTTGCATTTTTAGTATAGTATTAAACAAATTTACCTCATTGCGTAAAGTATTAACCTCATTCTGCAACAATGAAACAATCTCGCGTAGAGCGGCAACCTCATCACGTAAGGTAGATATCTCACCGCGTAGCGCACCATTGTCATCGCATAAAAAATCCACCTCACCACGTAAAGATCGAACCTCATCACGTCATATACCATTATCTTCACGTAAAGTACCGACCTCATGACGCAAAGCACCGACCTCATCACGTAATTCCCCTAACTCATCCTGTGGAGGTGGAGAATAAGGAGATGGAGATAGACGAAGCCTCTTTGTCGGTCGCCTATCATGAGGTGATGGTGGAGAAGAGGCTCGATGATGTGATGGAATAGGTGATGGTGGAGGTGGAGATGAGGCTCGACCAGGTGATGGCTCCGGGTGTCGAGCTATAGAATCGGCCCGATGGGGTGATGGCTCATCATCTGTCCCATCAAAAAACCGCTTACTAGCTTGCCACCAATCAGTGGCAAGCTCAGCATCTGAGGGTGTCAGCCTCTATAATGGGTAGTTGGCCTCTTAACAATATAAAAGCTCAAACAAAGTTAAACGTGTACTAGTAATAACTTGTTTATATATGGTAGTATTTGTGTGTTAACTTACATCATTAATCGTCGTATATGGGAGTAAGTCTTCCCAATCCAACATGCGTTTCCTCTTCCAGGTAATAGCCCTAGGAATATCATTTGATCTTTTTATCGCATATGTCCGCATGCTGGGGAAAGCCTCAAATATCCAAATCTACAAACAATATAATACACAAACATTAATAATTGTTAAATAATTAATTATAATTTTGGAAACATTATATAGAAATTCTTACCTTAAAGGCCCAAGTAAAGCCTGTCAAAGTGTATTTAGAACCATCGCCCCGCAAACTTTTTCGGTCCTCGAAGGCAAACGACAACTTCTTATAGGTAGCTTTCCATATATATGAACCCCACGTAAACATGTTCCATGCATTTAGGTCATCTACCAATAATATTAGGTCCTCAGAGATTGGTTGTCTGCCCTCTTTGCCTAAAAAGCCGGCATACAAAAGTAGTAAATGGCATACTCGGACAACATCAAGGTAATACATCCAAGTAAAACCATCTTTATCAAATAATCTCTTCAAGTCGTCGACATGTATACTCGGCTTCGACTTTGCCAGCTCAGGAAAAACCCGATATAACCATGATGGGCGGGCGATATGACTAGTGTACCGACCTACATCATTGTGTACGAAGCATAGACCGGTGATTAAGCAAAACTTCTCCAGCCCAAAACAAGTATACGCCGGTGCCGGAGGAAAATGAAACCATATCTCTTCATCACCACGTTGTACCCCCTCGGGTAGATCATTAGTCATGGACTGAAGAAACAAATGTGTCAACATAGCATCTCCACCCGGATGTTGTACTTTCAGCCATGGCCCGAAGCAAGTATCCTCAAATAATTTTCTTTGTAGAGGTATAAGCGTCGACGCAATTTTAGTGGCTATGCTTAATTTATTCCTTAAGGTCAATTGAGCCGAAATTTTTTTCTACAAAAACAATAAACATACCAAGTTAGATATACCAGAAACTACAAATTATACACTACAAACAGACATAATATTAAACAGTGAAAACAAAGCCAAATATGTTTCAAACTAGCACGGTATTCACCCAAGTCATTATTCCATCATAGTTCACAAAATGCATCAGATAACATTCCAGAAGTAAACACTTATATAAACATTTAAAAAGACAACATATAGGTTTAGTGCAGGTTCAATGACAACATAAAGAGTAGTAGTTTATTCTTCAAACTTAAATTAGCAACACTGTGAAGTTAGTATTTGTCTTTGTTTTTTGGTTGAAGTAATACAATTCATTCAAGTTTCAATTTGGCGAATAAAAGAAGTTTCTGAAACTTAAATTCGCAACGCGAAAATGAAAATCGCAACGCGATTTTAGTTTCGTGTTGTGAATTTGGTGTTGCGATTTAGGGTTTCTTCAACAAAAAGACAAAACAAAGACAAATACTAATTTCACAGGATTAAAGACTAAACAGTTTAGCAGTATTGGCAGCAACCGAATGAATTTAGCAATCTCAGTGAAATGGTTAATCTAATAATAATACAAAAATTTTAAAATAAAAATAAGAGATTAAAAAAACTAACGCTCGGTGGTTGATTTTCCATTTCTGACCGTGAATGGTTGTGAGGGTTGATCTGAGAGATGGAGATAGACGGATTTTGTCGGAGATAGGGACGGATTTTGTCGGAGATGGGGACGGATGTCGTTGTAGAGAGTGAGAGATGGAGATGAGACTGAGTTGTGCTTTAGGGTTTTAGCCTTTTAGGTTAGAGATGATTTGCGACAATACTGTTTACATTTGTATTACGAAATTAATATTGTGTTTCGCGTAAAAACATTTGACTTTCGCGTTGAGAATTTGACTATCGCGTTGCGAAATTGGAAACTGAGTTGCGAAATTGGAATTCGCGTTGCGAATTTGTTGGTCATTTTGGCAAATCCAACAAAAGTTGGTTAAATTCGTATATTATAAGGCATTTTTGGTCACTGAGGTTATTTTCTCTTCCAATAATCTTTATTCCTTTAACCAAACACGGTAATCTTACATTCCTGCTAAATCAACCAAACACAAAATACAACATTCCCAGTAATCCTATTTCCTGGTAATCTTTTATTCCCACTGGTAATCTTTTATTCCCACTGGTAATCTTACATTCCGTGAACCAAACACACCCTTAAAGTGTCTATATAAGTTAAAAAATATGTTTAGATTCAAACAAACCCTCTACACTTAAATGAATGCAAAAGCGTAAACATCAATGAAAATTTTATAACCACCAAAAGAAGCGACAAGAACAAAAAAGAAAAACAAAGTAACAAGAAAGAACTTAGAGTAAAATACTCAATTTATAAACCAATCAAATTATTTATTTTTTATTTTCACAAATATTTTATCGATTTAAATATTTAAAAATATTTCTACGTAAATTTCATTACCATTTAATTTAATTCAATTTTATTTTATAATAACATAACACCATTCTAATCTTATTCATTTATCAAATTCTTTAATAATAATTAATTATACTGTTCAAATTTATAAATTTGAAAGGGTGTTGTAGTCACATCTTCAACCTCGGAAGGATTAGGAGCTATTGTGGCTCTGGTTTTAGTAGTAAAGCCTAGCAAATTTCTGTTTTAGTATCGCGTTTGGGTTTAAATATGTATTTAATAATCAATCAAAGTTGATTTTATTGTTTAAAATAATTGTATATTTTAAAATTAAAATGAAATCCACATAATCAACTTTTAAAAAATAATTTTAAATCAAAATCCATTAAATCAATCAAATTAAATCGATTTGGTCGTTTTCCATCTAATTTTACTCGGCCCATATGTAGCCTTTGTAGTTCTACAACCCAGTGGTTTATCTCATCGCTCCTGGATATTGCCTTCAGCCCAAGATAATCGCATTGCTTGTCATGGAGCAAATGGAGACGCATACATTCAGATATGAATCGAGAAGATTGGTGGGGCGGTCATCATTCTTTGAAAATTTTAACTTCGTATTTATTTTTAATAGAAGTTGTTAGTTTTATTAAAAAATTAAATTAAATTATAATGAAAGTTACAATTATAAACTAAACATATAATAAAGACATTTTACTATAATCATTAACACAATAAAACTAGTCATTTAATATTACAAAAGGACAATATGAAGAAAACGTTAAAAACCTAACTAAATAATCTTAAACAAAAGGTAGATACAAATAGATCTAACCGCATCAACAAAGGAACAACAAAATAGGATCAAGATATTGAGATACCACCGACAGATCGCATATCAGAGTCAAACGACATTAAAAAGCTACCCATGAACGCAAATCACGTATCCAATCCAATCTGATGGTTCAAAGCAGGGAAGACCATCATTATAACAATTAAGAATCTTCTTGATCAGTCGTGGCGATGTTAAATCCAACCCTAAGAAAAAAGATAAACGAAAACAACGACTAAACAATCGAAAATGTGCAAAGTTATTAAAATTTAAAAAAATAAGAAAAACAAAGATACATTATAATAAAATAAAGAAAAATGAATACCGGCGGTTGACGACCAATATCAAAACTGATGATGTCGTCGATCACAAAAAAAAAAACTAACGATGGCCAAAGAAAAGAGAAAAAAACAGGGTAAAATTCAGAAGAACCATAAATTCTTATATATTTTAATTATCCTTTTATATTTTTTTATTAATAATATGTATTTTCTCTTAAAAAATTTATAAATTCATCCTCTTAAAATATTATAAAGTTATTTCACTAATGTATATCTATACACGTCTACTATTGTTATTATGTAAATATCAGACAAATAAGATTAGAGCAACAAATTCCCAAATAAAAAAGATTTTTTTTTATGAAGAAAACACTATTAATAAGCAATCATGTACCGTATGTATAAACCTCATCAAGTTAACCTCTCTATGTCACAAACTCCGCAAAATAATATGTACAAGGGACAGGCAATCTCCCATCAAGGCATCAACGTCCACCTTTGTAAAAAAAAATAATAATAATCACCTCTATGTATTTGTCTCCCTACTTAAATCTAATATCTTGCTTCCTATAACACTCATAAATGCCAACCTTCATGAATGCATATGTCCTTCACAATTTCCTCAACCAGATCCCCAATAATGTGCCATTCCACCTCTCTTCCCAAACCGTTAGTTTCCTCGTCCACCAAGCCAGTCCAGGGGACGGATCCTAGATCTCCGGCCACCATATTCTCGAGTGTGTAGTTGTATCTATCGTTTGGAGGATATAAATTAATGTGGACAATCTCCCACACAGATTTCAATAGTTTCCTTCCCTCCGGAGGTGTTGATATGGTGGAACCTAGAATCTTTCTCCTGAACCTCGACATGGTCACCGGTGACCCGAGTATGGTCGAAAGTGCTTCATTAGACAAATCGAGTAACAGTTTGTGATCCACTTTCTTATCATTCTCCTTCGCTGTTTTTCTATGATATTCTTCCACTTGTTCAAAGACGGATTTGCCGATAGGCTTCGCTAATGGATCCCACCTTGATAAGAAGGTTTTGTCACACAAACCATCATACAAACCGGAAGCAATGAGCAAATCTCTTACGTATCCTCGAGCATGGTCCTCTGGATTCACTGTTTCATATTCGGTAGCCTCCTGATTGACGGTTATGCGGTTTTCCTCATCGGACTCTAGTTCATTCAGTTGCCTTCTCAGCTCTGATCGATGATCGATAAATAAAAAAGATTGTCATGTAAGGATTTGAAAGCTAGGTTTGAAATAAGAACAAGTACGTTTCATGTACATTATGCAGGAAAGGGGAAGTTGCATACCATTCAAATTAGAACTGATCTCTCTGAAAGCCAGAGGCACGGTATTATCTTCTCCCAAAGTCACATCCGGTGTTGATATCGGGCTGAGATAATCGACCTCCGTCCAAAATTCATGAGGACTGCCGCAAAAGGATGCCGGACTAGGAGGTACCTCTGTAGGATTCTCCTAAGACCACAAAGAAAACAATCAGAAATGGAAAGTTGATGGAAAACATTCTCAGTTTATAAACAAGAAAGAGTTCTTACATGGCTCTTGCCAAAGTTCATAATAACTGTTGGTCCACTCAAGATATCTTTTGTAAGATCATTATCGGCACCGTATGACTCCGCCATGGATTGAATCTTCTTGCCGAATAGCCTCGGCCTAAGCGTCAAACCGTATTTAATATTGGAAACTTTTTCTTTCAAGTTGAACTTCCCTTTCTTCCTTCTTCTAATGTCTACTGATGTAGTTTCAATGCCCTCATGCTTCGTCCTGATCTGTGCACCAGTTACAACATGGCGGTCCTCTAAAAGCAGCTTCCCGAATGATGTTCCAGAGACGGGGGCGGACAAGGACCTGATGAGATTTCTAGGGGAAGGTTCACTGTTTAACGGCCAAATATCATCTCCATGCCTGAAAGATCTGGTTTGCATTTCTTGTTCATGTTTAACAATTTCCCAGTCACTCTGCTCATTCCCGGACTTTGACAAGTATTGCATTCCTTTAATCCTCTCCCTTCCATTATCAAACACAGATGATCTAGAGCTGCAAGTGGAAACTATTGGTACATCAAACTGTGTTTCTTCCTTTAGCACATTCCTTAGTCTTTCTGATAAGAATCTTCTTGTATCTCGATCGATGAACTCAGGGGAACCTGGTTCATTGAACGGAATGTCACTTCTATATGATCTGGTTGATTCCGATCGAACTAAATTCATTCTGAAATCCCTACTGCCATTTTCTCTGGCCTGATTCGCTATATACTTAGCAATTTGTCTTGGATCAGATGATGGCTTTTCACTGAAAGGGGTCTCAATTCCACTTCCTCTGACCACAAAACTCTTTTTTCCATTAAGAGCTTTACCTTGCAGTTCCGATTTTAGTCGTTCCCTTACCTCCTCGAGAAAATCCTCCATACTAGCTCTCCCTTGGAAAGTGCTAGGTGAAGAGGTCCACGATTCTCCATGATCATAAATCCCATCAGGACCAGGCTTCAAGATCACTATTCTTGTGGGAGCAGCATTCAGTTTCTCATTATAATCCATAGTCGAAGGTACACGAAAATCTTTATTTATGCTTTGTCGTCTATATTCATTTTTCCGGGATGTAAAGTCTTCTGATTTATACATCTGATGTTGCAAGCCCTTTTCTTGTACTGCAAGCCTCTTGGATTGCAAAGGCTTCCCATGCATCGCTTGTACTGAATCCACATAATGTGCCTTCCTTTCCTTGTTCTGTTTCTCTTGAGTGAATTGATGTGCAGAAATGCTTCCAACATCAACAACCTTTGTACATTCCCTAAACCTGGCCACTTGCCATGCCTCAAATTCTTTCTTAAACCTTTGCAATTCTTCCTCCTGAGGATGTTCCCGACGCCTAGGCTTTCCGAACTTTTGCTCGGTGTTCCATCTCTCAGCATCTCTGTCTCTTGTACTGTAAATAGAGTCAACTTCCATTTGCTTCAAGAAGTGTAAGTTAGAGCCCTTGACATTTTTTTCCCTTCCAGAAAGCTCGACTTGCCGGTTATCACTCTTTTTCGTAACCGATTGAACTACAGATTTTGTATCAGATGGCAACGGATCCATCCCCATCAATCTGGCAACAATACTAGGTGAATTGTGTCTGGTGTTATACTGTTTGGACATCTCCTCACTTAGCAATTTCTTCATTGAAGCCTTGGTTTGATAATAGTTCCTCCCCGACAATTCTTCCTCCACTTGGTAAGAGCTCTGAAATTTTATGTGAATTAGAGGGAGAGATACATAAGAAATATTTACATGATAATTTTATTTCAATAAATTTAATTAGACTGAATCATTAGATGACGGTCCTGCAACACAAAGAACATAGTCTCAAATGTTAAAAAAGGAATCAGAAGGTAGAAAAAAAATTACTGGCAGATCTCCTGCAGCATAGTAGATCTGAGAAGGGTCTAACTGCAGCTCCAAGCTATTTCGCGGAGCTTCCAGGACTGCATAGCAGCAAAACAACAGCATTATTGCATTGGATCATAGAATTCGAGAGCGACTTTTTCCCGACGCGTAAAGAAGATAATAACGCTTACCGTCGACATGTTTCTTCTTTGCAAGTACTTTTCTGGCCATGCTGCCTTGATGGAAGTCAAAAAGATGAAATATGCCTCCCATGCAGCCACTGGATCTACCAAATCATTTTGTTCACACAAAATCTACTTCTTATCACTCCTAAAAGTCACACTTGATTTGTGTACTGTAAATCCAAGAATGAAACAACACATTGATTATCATTCCTCATCAGATGCGGAATAATTTCACTGAACAAAAACCGTAGCAACTACGGGATGAATCGACTGCAGGCTGCAGCGTGGGCATGCATTGAAAGGTTTTCTGTTCTTCACTGAATTCTAGTCTATTTAAACCAACATAATCCCCTAAGAATTCAGTATCAAGATACCTTCAAATAAAGATATCAGACATGAATTTTGCAGAACAAATGACATATGCACAGGTAAACAAATAAAGCTATGTTCTGAAAGATAAGAGATGCAAACAGGCAGCATTATTGACCTCATGGAAAGGCAATCAATGGAAGGGTCATAAAGTGCTTCAAAGTTCAAAGTTCCAACTGGGAAAACTCTAGGCTCCTAAGCTGCATATCAAGGTTGCTAGAGTATTTCCATTCTAATCAAACTTTGCAATCAACCAAGCAAATGTACACATCCAACAACAACATTTGCTTCATGAGCTCCCTAAAACCTTATCCGAACACCTAAAGTAGAAGTAACAAGCTTCCTCGATTATGTTAGAAATTCGGTTAAAATTAACCCTTGTTAAAAGTCTCATCCATTTTTTTTCATTATGGTGATTCCACAAATACATGCAATATATAGAGGGAGGGGGGCTGGCTGAGTGAATGAATTGCAAAAGAATTCTGCAGCCATCAAAATCATAGGCAACTCTCAAATCCATGTTGAGTATATAAGAAAACTAAAAGCAAAAGGATGAAAAGGAACAAAATCAAAATGGGAGAGAGGAAGAAGTACAATTTATCTGAAATTGTGATGACAGCGCCTAGCCTAGCACAAGCATCACACCGGGAAACTTCCTTGATTCTCTGCAAAGTTTTAAATGAAATTCAGAGTTTTCAAGCCAATTAACGTCCATCTTGCAATAAAGTCTAGACCGACATCAAAGATCATGATGATCTAAGCAACAACAGCACCTAAATTCAATAAAGCCTAGACAAAATGCTCTGTCAAAAGAACAGCTTAACACCAAGTAAACCCCAGAAAGCTAAAAGTGAAACAGGGCTTTCAATTCAGCATCTGAAGCAAAACAAAGAGAAACAATAACAAGATGAAAGCATGCCCTTCGTTTTAGAGGGAAAACTGAAGAAACGAGGAGCCATTGCTGACTGTTAAGGAGGAAAAGGAGAAGAATGAAACTGTTAAGGAGGAAAAGGAGAAGAATGAAAAGACATTATCATGGAAATGGTATCGGTTTAAAGATGCATATGATGATTAACAAGAAAGCTAGACAGACTGATAATTGAATAAAAGTGGGAACTCAAAAGCTAAGATTTGAATGATGAGAGGCGCAGGGATTATTAATGATAATATATTAATTATGAATAGTTATGATGATGCATAAGAAAAGTCGTGCTCTTTTCGTTACCAATGGTGGGGAAGTCTTTAAAGTTTTAACTCAAATGAATAGATAAATTGAATTTGGTAAGAGTAAACGGTGAGCTATAAGTTTTCATGCAGGTGTGTAGGTTGAAGAAGAAGAGGGACCAGTGGACCACCCCCAATCACATCATTCATTTATTTATTCATAAAATCATAATCATTCCCACCAAAACGAAATGATATTCCATATGGCTTCACTATACCAAACCTCTCCTCTCAAGCAGATGGGTGTGTACAGGATTCAGACAAGACAGTAGGCTTACCTTATATATGTCATGTTGTTATGTTCTCCCTCCAATTGGCGCCATCTTACAAGGGTCTCACTAACTCGTTCACTGCCATTGCAATGTCCGTCAAACATAAATCTTGTCCAATTCTCGTTTTCGTGCATCTATTATGCTTAAATTTTGGAATTAAAGGCCTATGGAGTTTCAAGAAGTTTTCGAAGTATGATATTATTCGGACGGCTACAATCCCTTGACATGATCACTGATTAGCTCATGTGATCTGTTAAAGTTAAATTTGCTATCTGATAGTCATATCTATTAGTTTTATCCATATACGAATAGTCATCGCGACCCTAAGTTTGACACTAGTAAATATTAGTGTATAAGTCAACCTACATAGCTGAAGAAAGGATATTGAATTCTCTTTCTTTCCTTCAATCTTTCTCTACACGGTATATCATCTTCTTCATCTCACCGAAATCATTACCTATAATTCTTTGTTCAAATAAAAAGAGATGAACTGTCAACAAACAATATAATTACCGTTTTACCTTCAACAGAACTATACCATTTGAGTATATTAAAAGGACCAAAAGCAAAATTTGGCTTCAAGATTTTATACTATTTGTTTGGTTGTCGTATTCAATTACGTAGCTTACAGCCTGTCAGAATGAGGGAATATTGTTTATATCCATCGTCATGTGAGGAGTATACTTTAGAGCTCTCTCTTTCTGACTTTAACCATTACTTGTGATCCTATTCAATCCTTGATTTCGTATAACATATAACAAATTAAGTAATTAATCAATTCATACATTCTTTTCAAATAAGCTGTCCTTGGACAAAAGCTTCATTTATAATTTAATCAAGTTGATGACCCCAACTCATTCTCAATCAAATCCACACTATTAAGATATTAAATGTGATTTTTTAACATGAATCTTTGACATGAAGGAATGCATGGGATATGATTTTGTTTGTGTGAGGAAATGTACCTCCAACATTTATACGAAGAATACGAATTTTAAAAAGTTATATTAAAAATTTAAAGATGTAAAATTATAAAATTTCAATAGATATAAAATTAAATTATTAATAAATTATAAAAAGAATAATTTTTTTTTAAAAAAAGTCAATCACTTCCTACCGCCGGTGGATCCATCTTTGTGCAAGTGAAAAAAGCGTCCACAAAAAAGGTAGGAATAGGATAAAGGTACAAGGAAGGAAGGAAGATGATGTGCGTGGTGGAATCTTTTGTAGTGAAAAAGCAAATGCGATCCTTATCTAATCACTCTCTCTGTTACTATATAGGCTTTGATGGGGAGCAACTTGCAAGTTGGTGGACCAAAGCCATCGGCCTAACACTAAACATCAGTTTGCACATGCACTGGGACAAGTGTTTTCGGCCGGAAAAGGTTACTATTATTAATTCTTTAACTTTTCTTTTAATATTTTCGTATTCGTTTTAAGTATAGGATTCATAATTATTATTTTTAATTAAATCTATAATGTTATGATATTTTTATTATATATGTGTAGAGCACAAGGTTCTTAATCTTGAGGTCGTGGGATCGAGTCCCACTGAGGGCATTTCATAATTCGGAGGTCTTCTACGGAAGATGCTCTCAACCTGGTGTTGGAGGCAGCCTACTATCTTATCTCCCCCTTACCCCATTACATATGAGAACAAGGGACAATCATTTTAAAAATGACCATCCAGCTCAATTGGTAGAGCACAATGTTCTTAACCTTGAGGTCGTGGGATCGAGTCCCACGGAGGGCATTTCATAATTCAGAGGTCTCTTACGGAAGCTACTCTCAACCTGGTGTTGGGAGTAGCCTACTATCTTACCTCCCCTTACCCCATACATATGGGAAAAAGGGACGATCATTTTTCAGATTAATAAATAATAATAATAATACTTTGAAAATTTATTTTTAAAAAAAAATTATATAACATAAAAATGAAGTTAAGAAAAGTTGGTAAAATTGCCTAATAATATTGTGGGAAAAGAAAATTCACATAAGATCTCTAGTGAATTATTTCTTAAAGTAGGATGGTTACTACAATATCACTTGACAACGGGAATATAGTGTCTTCAATTTTTTTCAGGATTATAGACCGCGTGTGTCTATCCCATGGCTGATCATTTTTCATTTGCTTGGCATTTTCATGTGTCTTGTTTGAGAAAAACTAAAGACGCATTGCAACCCATGCATATTTCACGGACAAACTGAAGACGCATAATACTTTATGCGTATTTCCCATTTCAATGCACTATTCACCCTAGTCCAAAATATAATTCTCGAGAGACATTATGTGAGAAGTTCTTTTTTTCCAACACATTATCTCAGTCATTTTACCCAAAAAAAAAATCTTTAATTCCTCGCTTTCTACGTGTTTTAATTTTTAACCTTTTTTTTAGTTTGAAGAATACTTTTATTTATTTATAAATTTGAAGAATAATGTTCACATGCATTGCATGTGCCTGTAACATTAAGATTTATACTATATTGAATTTTTTAATTGAGTTGATATTATCAATTAATTGAATATTAATTAAATCAAAACATATATATATATATATATATATATATAACTTGTTTAAAGAATAGTTAATATTATAAGAAAAATATTATTAAGCAAACTTTTGAAAATATATTTTTACATAAAATATTTTTTTCTAATTCAAATCTTGTTGTTTCACTGACACAAGGCCACAAAAGGTACGTCCATGGTTCAGCTGCATAGGCTTCAAAGTACTCTTTGATATTAGTAGTACATTAATTTGAAAATTTTCATGTAAGATACTCGAAGTTGTCCCTCCTAACAATGACATCTCCAAAGTTTAAACACGGATTCTCTCCTTAACAGCGTAATTTTCCTGCCTCATTCTGTTCTCAAAAAAATTGAACAATTATGTTCAAGGTTTTTTTGGAAAGGAGCTGATCAAAAAGCTTCTGGAGCTCGAGTTTGCTGGCACAATATTTGTTTTCTTAAATCCGAGGGAGGCCTTGGAATAAAGCATGCATGCTCCTACTCATTAAAAATATTCTTGCAGGTGAAGGTTCACTTTGGGTAGTATGGATTAAATGCTATGTTCTTAAGGATAAGGATTTCTGGAATGTTTACATTCAACCATCACAAAGCTGGAGCTTAAGGAAACTCCTCAAACTGAGACCAGAAGCTCGTCCTATTCTGTCTGCAGGAGCTACGACAATGACAGCTGTTTGGGTTGCTATTAGAGACAAGAGAATTCGTGTTCCCTGGCAGAATATAGTTTGGTTTCCTATGCATATTCCTAACCATAGTTTAATCTCTTGGATGACAATACTTGATAGGCTTCCTACAAAGAAAAATACTCCAACGTATGGGGCTGATCACTGACTGCATTTGTGTTTTTTGTGATGATCTTTTGGAAACAAGGGACCATTTATTCCTTCTATGTCCTATGGCTGACTTCATTTGGAAATCTATTTTCTCTCTTTCCGCAAGGCCTTCAGTTTTATCCTTGTTCATGGAAAACTTTTTGTGCAAGGGCAATCACAACTTGGAAAGGAAAATCAATGCTCACTTTGATCCTGAAGATATCCTTTAACGCCACTATCTACTTGTTGTGGGATGAAAGAAACAAGAGAATGTTTCAAGGTCGATCCAAGAATGCTCAAGAACTGTTCCATGCCATCAGAGATATAGTTGGTCTGCACTTAAGTAATAGGAAATTCAATAGTAACGATAATGTTAATATTACTCTTTCTAGGAATTGAAATATAGTGTGATCTTCGATTTTTGTAGTAGGTTGATCACTATATTCAAACTCTGATTCTTTTGTATCATGTTGCTGTAGCAGGTTTTCTATTTGGGTAATAAAAAAGAAATTATCCAAAAAAAATTGTCTAAATAATATTATTTAATAAAATAATATTAAAGAATTACTTAAATAATATTTCCCATCTTTTATGGTTAAACCAAGTAGGAATTCCTCATTAGAAAAAAATAACAATTTTATGGAGTGGTTTAGTGTGAATACTACATGTATTAATTATGCGAAACCTGTTGTTTTTGTTAAAGATGCTTTAACGTTACGATACTCTAATGTTTTACTTTGAAAATCATGTTAAACGGAAAAAATATTCCCTCTCCCTCTTTCAGGTAAGAATTGTTAAAAGAACGAAAAATAATGTCTATAGCATTTAACCAATGATTTTTTTAATTACCGGATGCTTGTAAAATATAGGTTATTCAATTGCACTAATTATTTATATTTTTATTTTAATATATTTTTTTTAACATATTGAATGATTTTATTAGTCTAAGAAAATGTTATTCAATTGCCCTAATTATTTATTTATTTTATTTTAATATCTTTTTTTAACATATTGAATGAATATATTAGTCTAAGAGAATGTTATTCTATTTAAAGAATCTAAATTTAAATAGTTATATCTATATGATATTTGTAAGTCGTCAATAAAATAAGATAAAAAATCGTTTGAGTATAAAAATATGTCGATATTAAAAATTAAGAAAAAAAACATGAAGTTTGTAACAATCATTTAAGTAGATGGTTATCTCCTGGGCCACAAAACGATACATGTTTTTCTTAAACCTTTTGAATATCACTTTTAAGCTTTAATCAAGGTAACCAAGCTTGGACCCTGGTTAAGGTTCCTTCAAGGTATCAACTTGAGCATGACCTGCGCCCACATTTTTCTTAAATAAACGATGTATGCAATTTGCAGCAAGCAACTAGGAACCTTCCATGGCATATACATGTGTTGAAGCATTTCCCATTATTAATTATTTTCCCTCTGGAAAGTCAAATATCAATTCGGTCAGTCCATAGTCCAAACCAGCCAGCCAGCCAACAATTTCAGACATTGTTAAAAGAAACCCAGTTCTCGTACATGAATGTCCGGATATTGTCGGATTCTTAAAATTAAATAAATAAATAAATAAGGTAGTTGGGAGATTAAGAATCATGGAAACTTTACAGCTCCCACTGTTTTTCAATGGATGAATATTGAACGTGCATTAATTTCATACTGTTAAAGGTATCTAATAACATTTAACTGTTTTCACAGTGGATAGCTATCTAATAACTATTACACCTACCTCAAGCTTGCCAACACCAATTTTGCAACTGCTACTTCTTTTTTTACAAAGACCGTACTCCCAACCCTTTTTTTCTCTCTTTTCTTTTATCTGTTTCCAGATTCCAATGGCCATTTGGCCATTTCCATATATGGAGTTCACAATAAAATCCTTCATCAACCTCTTTACTTTCTCATCTTGATATTTCCCTCTAGTTTTTTTAACAGATCAGTCTCTTTCATCTCTGGTTGCTTCATCAATTGCACAAAGCAAATTGATACTTTTGAATGCTTATCAGCATCTTGTTCATGGTGTTTGAGACTAATGTCTCCTGTACTCAGTGAAATCCTCCTTTGTGGTTTTATGATCAACTCTACACTTGGGCGCAGGACCCATCTTGTTCAATCTTTCTCCGTTGTCTTCCTTTACTGGTTCTACGTGTTTTCATGAACTATCTATCTCTTTCTGATCGAAATCCCATAACCATCCCTTGTTTTCTTTAGTTTTTGCGTAACCATTTTTCATAAACAATCCCAAATCTAAGTTCTAATAAAATTTCTGGGTCCTAAAGCCAGTTATTGTTTCTTTTGTTTCTGTTATATTTGTTGTTATGGCTAGTTCAAGCAATGGAGCATCCTCAGCTTCAAGCACGCAGGGAAGCTTGAGTTCATCGGAGGATTTTCAGCAGAATTTAGATGAAAGGAAGCGCAAGAGAATGGAATCCAACAGGGAATCTGCCCGCAGGTCTCGGATGCGTAAACAGAAGCACCTGGATGAACTAAAGGGCCAAGTTTCTGAGCTCACAAAGAATAACAACCAGATCCTGACAAGCATCAATGTCACCTCGCAGCTTTACTTGGACGTTGAGGCTGAGAACTCCGTTCTTAGAGCTCAGATGAGTGAGCTCAGCACTAGGTTGCAATCTCTCACTGAAATCATTGATTTCATAAACTCGAGCAGTGGGATTATAAAAAGTGACAACTTTGACCAAGCTGCTTATTATCATCCTCATCGTCAGATCAATGATGATACTTCGATGAATCCATGGAATTCATTCTCTGTCAATCAATCATTCATGTCTTCTGCTGACATTGTTTTGTATTGATTAATCAGTATTTTGCTGTGTACCCTGGCTTTCTGGTTTACTGGTGTCTTTAGATGCCCATAGTTTTTTTTATTGTTTTTACTTGTATTATTAATGTTGTAATCATGGATTTAAATTGCAATTTTCAGGTATATTGCGTTTATTAGCTATTATGTATATAATAAACACTTCTGCAATCAATTAAGATGAATATTAAATTACCAAAAGAAAAATTGAAACCAAAAAGCACAATAGATTTCACAAAATCATTGGTAAAACGTTTACTGAGCTTAAACAGTTACATTGTCCACCCCCATTCTAAAGCCAATCCTGCATAACATAAATCATACAAACTCTGAGAACTACGCGCCTAAGAATCTTCTCTTCGAATTCCAGTATGTTAGAACTTGTATCAGGGTGATTTCCCTGTCTCTATAAAACGAACATTCTTTCTCACCGAGGACCAGGTGAAGCACGAGGTTTACCCTTCATTGAGTTCAAGTGTTGGGTGACAAAGATTACTCCCATCACAAGTAAAAGGTAACCCACCAGTGTGCTGAAGAAGAGGGCACCGGGTTGTCTTGCCTGGACGAAACCATATACTCCACTCGAGGTCACAAGAATGATATGAGTGAGCCCGTCATTCGAGAAGTCCTCAGTGATCAGGGCATGAGTGGGTGGAGCAGGAAGATCGATTGATGTTAATGAACTTCCTCCAGGGGAAATAATTATGCCCGTTTGATCTCCAGCAGCAAGGATCATTTGCTGATTGTCATGCACACGCAATGAGATCGGCTTGAATGTTGGAACCACTGTACCACCTTATATCATCCCTGCAGGTGAAGGAAGGTTTGACCATGTAGCATCTGTCAAGAGCTGCCATTGCCATTCAGCCCCATGTCCATGCAAGCCAGGAGAGTACGCGGTAACCTGACAGGATCAACGGTTCTAAGTTCCCAAGTCTTCAGCATAGACAAAATTTAACATGCACAATTCAGCCAAGGACTAGAAAATGAAAACAATACATGCATGACCAAGCACAGTAGTTGAGAAAATGCAACAATACCAGCCAAGGAGATGCGCAAACGTTAGACACAGAATAACAGCGTACCTCTCCTCGATTGGTTAAGAAAATAACATCACCATGGCTTCCCTTACGATGCCTATGTCCGTCACTTTTAGGGATAAGAATAGGTGTAGCCGCTTCTAAAGAAGCAACATTTGCTGTTCGACCATAACCTCTATAGAACTCTCCATGCTGGAATAAATGGAAATAGGAGTGATGACATATTGAAGCGTTAAAAAGTTGTTCTCGAACTGGTACTCCAGAGGTTGCCACAGCCCAACAAGGTCGCAATACCTCCATTGATCCACTAACAACAGTCTGCTCGGCACCATTACCTCCAACAGCCTGAGGAGAACAGAAATAACTGGTCACTTAAGCCGTAGTTAGCACATTGGTACTAATGCGGTTTTTGTTGTTAAATATGATATGCACAATAAAAACAATTTGGTACAAGGTAATATAAGAAACAAAAAGAAGTCTGCACCTGAACATGATCCAGGACTCCATCTCCATTGATATCAGCATGAAGGCCGCCTTCTTGGAGATGAAGCTGATGTAATCAATAAATATTACCCCGTCAAATCAGTAAGGAATATATAATCCTGATATATAACACGAATACTTTGTATTTAAAAACTAACAGTAGATCAATTTTGACAATTGCAACACATATCTCATGAGGGGAGAGAAAAAGCAGAACAAAAGCAATAAGATCACATGTTCAAAAACTAGCATTTCATATTAAAAGCCGGTGAAAAAAATTAATTCAGCAGATTTCACAACCATTATATCTAAAAGCATAGTGTGTTGGTCTCAGGTCACCTTGCATACAGTTCGACCAGATGCCAAATGAACAGCTTCTATCCCTTCCTTTTGATGGGCCACAACAACATTAGGAACCCACCAGAGTTGCGTGTAGTTTGTTATGGTTGGGATATAAGCCATCGGCTGCAACAAATTGTAAAGAAAATTATAAGCATTTATAAGATAAATTGCATGAATGGACTTTATACTTTGTGGATCAAGATAAAGAAACTAATCACTAAAAACATACATGATAAACATATCGTACATGGAAAAATTCAGTTTGGAATATATATGGCAAACAAAAAAGTGAAACTGACACTATAACAAAATTGAGAGGTCATACAATGAAAGCAATATCTTCCTCTCAATAAGTATATCACAGGGTCAGGTCTCCTAGTGTACAAGACTAAGTGCAGCATCAAAAAGTTGCACTTAGATGCAGCAAAGCCATAGAAAAAGTCTATGCAACAAAGGAGAATATAGAGATAAAACAACAGTGGTGCATAAGGGGTGTCATTCCCAATGATCTACAAGTTACATAGCATCACAGCTAAAATGAAACCTATCAAATAACTGAAAAACCTTCATGTCCACAGTCCTTTTAAACTTCAGAATGAATGCGTTTACAGAAGTATGCACGTCCAATTGAAAAACTTACCTTCTTAGATTTTGCTGAGCCAGCAATCTTAGCGGCTTTCCCAATCAAGTGCGAAATTTATTTGGAATCATCCTTCCCTGGAGGATGGTGTTCTTCAGGCTTGTGAAAAGGATATGTTGTCAACTTTCCAGGTACCTTTTTCAATGTTTTCCTCTTATGTCGCTTGAAATGTGATAACTCCAACGATGTATCTTCTCTCCTATCCTAGAGAAAAAAAATATAAATGCAAAATGAATCCCTTACATTCTTGAGTATGCAAAGAACAGAGCAAAGTTCATAATTAACATGTACTGCTTGCTTACCCAATGATGTGGCATAACTCCAAGGATTGATTCTCTAAATTCCCTGCATTCAAACTACAGTTCAACATGTTTTAAGAGATTTTATAATAGGGAACGATTCAACTAGATTGGATAAAAAAAATTCAAAAGGTTATCACAACGGAAATCATATAGTCACAGGAAATGCTTTAAAAGAAATAAACATACAAACACAATCATACAAATATGAAACACCCACGACTTAGATCAGTAAAAAATGACACGAATGTACAAAAATGAGAGCAAAAGTGTGCTTTTATAGCAGATGAAATGAACTCATATTTGACAATTTGATGCACAGAACAAAGATAAAGAACCAGGAAAAGAGATGCGAAGAGAGGAAAAAATCAGATGCCTATGATTTTTACTTGAATAATGATGTCATTAATAAAAAAAGATTCAGTTGCCAGTGCATTTCCCCAAAAAAATCTTAAAGTTTATAACCTCCTACAGAGAAATATAATAATCAAAATGGCCTTAAAGCATACCTCACCAGGATGACGAGTGTTCAGAGCATGCACATCAAGCTTATAGTTATGTTGTGGAATTAGCTGTGATGAATCTGAAGAATGCTCTTCAATATTCTTAACCAAAAGAAAGAAAGAAAATGATCATTATCACCATGCAGTGAAGGAGAAGATAACTGATAAAAGCACCCAACTTGCAAAGAAGGTGACAACAATTATCAAGAGGCAAATACGTTCTCCAAAAAGCTTAACATATGGCGAAATATATGCCGAACTTCAAAAAGAACTACGGAAAATAATAATGAAAACTAAAACAGATTTTCCAAAAAAAATAAAAAACATACCTCATTCTTCCTAGACCATCGAAGTCCACCTTTTCGCCCATCGAATGCATAGAAAGCAAAATGGTGTAAATTCACAGTTCCAGAGTTTTCAGAAGCCTATATAGGATATAATTTATCAGTATTGGAACCATGAAACTAGAAGTAACATCCACTTACTTATAATGTTGCAGATTTTGTACATGGAAGTGCTGAGTAATCAAGGAGCTAAAATAGAGAGAATAATGGAAACCACATCCAACTTTGACAGCTTCAAATGGTTAATGGCAAATGACAACTTCTAGGTATTTGATAGACAAGTTTTAAAAAGAGTGAAGCAGCAAAAAGAAAAAGAAACATGAGAAGGAAGCCCCCAAAAAAGTTCAAGCAGACTTAACATGCCTGGTTTATATCAAATCTCTTTGCACAAACATGGAAATGCCAACATCAATCATATTAAGCAAGCAGATGTCTAAAATTTACATCAACAAACAATGATACATCCATACCTCCTTTTCATTTGCACTTCTTCTATGCTGCTCAGCACTTCGTTCTGCCATCCCAATTTCTTCAAAAGGATCTAGATATAACTGAAAACATTAAGGAACTTTTTAATCAATCAAAGAGAAGTAACACAAAAAAAAAACACCTTACAAATCATATATCCAGGTCTCGGTATATTAAACACTGCGACGCTAAAAAGTTACTAAAAACCAATTCCTATGTAATCAAAACATGATAGTTTTCATGTTTCAGAACCCAGACTTGGTGAACAGATATGTACAACTAGATTTTCAGAGTATAATCGAAAAGGATAATGGACACTGAAACAAAAGAGCTTTAGTTAACATACATGGGGCTGCATTTCCATCCTCCCACCAACAATGACTAAACCCGAATCGCCATGCTTCAAGGTGTAATTACTTATCGAAATTGCTATCTCTCTATGGTGTGCGTTATGTGGAAAATCCTCCTGTCCAACACCACATAAACCCAAGACTATCAGAAACAACACCACTTGATACCAAGTTACAGAAAGATCAAATACAAAACCTGGAAGTACACAAACCTGCAAATTATTCTCCCATAACTTCTTGAGATTATGGTCGAAACACATGACAGACCAACCAGAAGTAACAACAATCAAAACCTGTTTCTGAGGTTGTCCAGACTAATAAATTCGATCTATAACACCGGTGGCCATAGCCACAGGACGTCTACCGCTCGCAACCCTGATCTTATCAGGCAACAAGGACACCTCTGTCAACACACGCGCTTCACTGAATCCTTCATCAACACGCCTTGCGTGTGGCTCCAATACCTAATAAATTCCAAATTCAATCAAATATACTATTAAAAATAATAAATGGTTATCCCTTATTCCCATATGAAATAGAGTAAGGGGAGATAAGATAGTAGGCTGCCCCAACACTAGGTTGAGAGTAACTTTCTAGTAGACCTCCAAATTATGAAATGCCCAACCAACCAACTGAGCTGGATGATCATTTCAATTAATAACGATTTAAGAATATTTAAATCAAAATATTTAATTTTTGAGAAGTTAAAAAAAAATATCTCTTTTTATAATAAACAGATAAAAGTATCGTTTTTTACTTTGCCTTCATAATAAATTGACTTAATTTTACAGAGAATTGAAAAACCTGCATTTTGGCATCGTGAGTAGCGACAAGGATTTCTTTCTTTCCATCACCATTCAGATCGACGACGAGAGGTGGGGGGAGACGTTCAGCTTCGTATTTGATCGGATATTCGTCGGACAAATGATACCACGCTTCTCTAAACGATAAATCCCCTTCGTGCTATACAAAACAAAGAAGTAAAATTCGAGTGAAATCACGCATGGAATTAAAAAGCCAATATGATCCTAGGGTTTATGGTTCAAGTGAAGAGGAACAAAATTGGGGAAAAACAAACCTGAAGAAAGAAGAATATGGCGAAAGCGGAAAGCATAAGAATAGCCAAATCTCGTTTTCTCATGGCAGCTCCAAGTGTTGGAATCGGTGCTCGGTTGAAGGATCAATGGCTGATCAGGGTCAGCTCAAGCAGATGTAAAGACTGGAAAGTAGAAAAACGTCGAGGCGGTGCCAGTTTCAACTGAACTTGGTAAGGCAGAGCATGGACCGGACCGAAATGGATTATAGATGGGTGATCGGACCGAAATGAAAACATGCCGGGGAAAGAAATGGGATTTAAGCCCATCAAAAGTAGAATCGATGAGGCCCAAATCATCGGTTTACGTGTCGCTGCCCTTAAAATCTCAAAAATGATTTTTAAAAAATCATTTATTTTATTTTTTCGTTCTTTTATTGTGATTTTTTAATATTTTATTGTGAAGTTGCTCTTAATAAATGATATATGAACTTTCATCTATAGGGTCATTAGGATGGTTATTGGGTTAAAGTATTTTAGAAGTTTATATCTTAGATTTAAAATTTTATTTTAATTTTTATTATAAAAATATTTTTTTATTATATTTAAAGTTTACTTTTATCTGTTTATTATAAAAAGAGATATTTTATTTTTAAGTTATCAAAAATTAAATATTTTGATTTAAATATTCTTAAATCGTTATTAATTTTAAAATAAAATAAATATCTCTCTAGAAAAAATATGGTATTTTATCTAATGGATGATTGTTACCTCTGTAGTTAAAAGGATGATTGTTATATTTAGATGTCTCAAATTCGAGCACCAGAGACTGCAATGGTGTTTGAACCTTCATTGTTCAATGGTTGAAAACCTTTTGAACAAACACAAACTTGTAATCACCCTAAATTAAAAAAAAAAATAAGTCATATTGATTTCACTGCTTTAGTATGATATGGACCCTGTCGTTTTACCGCTTTATGAAATTAGATATGGTCGTGGACGGAACCTTTCACGTCTGTTGAAATTAGATATTGGCTAGATAAGCCATTTTCAATATTCAGATGTGGTTGTCCTTGAACAACATGGTTTGTTTAATGCCGGAATGCATGCAAAGCAGAACATATGCGAGTCCACGTCTGGGTTTGGTTTTTATCCGAAAGCTCTGAAAGGGTACAGTTGCAGAGAAGAGCATTCAAGTAGCAAGACTTGAATATGCTTAATCATTGATGTGGAGAATGTCAAAAGATTCTTTAAATGAATGAAAACACTAGGCATGTAAATGAATTAACGTTCAGCGAACCGTTCATGAACCGTGCGACGGGAAGTTCGTTTATGTTTGTTTATTTATTAAATGAATAAACATGAACAAGATTTTACGTTCGTTTAATTAAATGAACGAACACGAACAAAGAGCTCGTTCGTTCATTTACGTTCGTGAACGTTCGATTATATGTTCGTTCATTTATGTTTATTTATGATGGTTCATTTATGTTCGAACAAATGACAAGTTGAATATGTTACGAAGATTATTGAAGTTGTTTGAATTTCCAGAAAATTGTTTTGTTGAACAAATTAACTTTAATAATTTATTATGTTTATATAGTTTATTTATGATTTATGTATGTTTTGTCGTATTCGAACAAATTAACTCTAAAGTTGCAAGTTATATTAATGAATTTTAAGTTGTTATTCTTGTTGTTTACTTTTTTTTACATTCATTTGTTGTGTTCGAATAAGTTTGTTTTTTGTGTTTGTGTTGGTCGTTTATGTTCATTTATTATGTTCGTTTACGTTCGTTTATGTTCGGAACGAACATGAACAAATTATATTCCTTAATGAACGAACATGAATAAAAAAAATTATTCGTTTATGTTCATTTATTTATTAAATGAACGAACATGAACATACCTCCGTTCTTGTGCGTTCGATTCATTTACATGCCTAGAAAACACAGATCTGAGGAGTCAAAAGAAGGCAGCATATACCTACCGAAAGATTAAAAGTAAAAGATCCTCCCACTTGTTGTCGTCGGATAACAAGGAATTTCAGTATTACGATAAGAGTGAAGGTTTAATATACCAATTGGTCCTAAACTTATGATTTTTTTTTATCATTTTAATAAAATTGAATCGATATAATCTCTCTTCACATATTTAGAGGAAACACAGTTTTAAACCTATGTTTTAAAATATTATTATATTCTATATTTTATGTTTAAATTTTGTCTAATATAGTTGATTGATTGAGTGGATTTCATAAATTAAAATAGTTGAATCGATGATGAAAATTCTTATGCCGTTGCTTTTCCTTTTTAATATTAATTATACATTTAACTTTTATTTCCTTTCCCGCTAATCTTCGACAAAAAATTGCCATTGAAGTAGGACCCTTTGGCCACCAGTCCACTGCTCGTATCTTTTGGCATTGTCATGACTCATGCCCTGCAAAAAGCTTATCTGTGTGATAAAACATGAAATGACATTGATATTTTCCTAGCATAGGGTTGGTAATTTTATGGGAAAATATTTATTTTTAAATTAATTAGATAATTATTATTATATATATATATATATATATATAGAGAGAGAGAGAGAGAGAGAGAGAGAGAGAATATTTTTCAATCGCATACGATAAAACTGTGTTAGATTCTTCAATTTTATTGATTAAATTAATAAAGGATTTTCAATTAATCTGACTTAGTTATTAATATTAGAGTAAATTGTATTGGTAGTCACTAAATTTTTAAGATACTTTTACTTTGGTCGTTAAACTTCTAAAATTTATATTATAGTCATTAAATTTTTATTTCGCCTTCATTATAATAATTGTCGCTAGTTGTCATTATAAAATATTGACGTGACATGTTCAAATTTTATTTTTGGAAACCTATATTTTTCAAATTGGTAGTCACCGCAAAAGCTCAATTTTTTTATGAACATACTAGTCATCGATTAATCTCAACGGTGGTAAGACTCCATTTGATCAGAAGATTAACATAGATTGTTTTCAAGTTGATCTGAAGATTAACAATGACATACCAATAACTTTTAACTTTTAGTTTCTATTAGATTGTCACCTCATTTCATCATCGTTTCTCTCTTTGTTCAATATTTTTTGTTTTCGATCAAAAATATCACCAAACTTGTACTTTATTTCCTTTGGTTCAAATTCGTTAGATAACATTATAATCTCCTAAATCCTAATCGAAACTAAAAAGCTAAAATTTTTCAATATGTTATTATCAATTGTCAGATCAGTTTTAGAACTAAACTATGTTAATCATTTGCTCAAACATATATTTTCGACTGTTGAAATTGGTCGATAATCACTTCGTTCATAAAAAAATTAAACTTTTTTGTTGGTTGTAAATTTAAAACCTTAATATTTTTAGAGGAAAAAAGAATTTAACGTATGTCATGTTAGTATTTCTTATTTGTTGCTAACGACGGTGACTATATGAAAGCAAAATTAGAAGTTTAGTGATTGTAATGTAAATTTTAAGAATTTAATGACCAAATTGAAATCATTCTGTAATTTAGCCATAGATTTGGTCTCGAATTAAGACTATCCATCCCTTTCTGGTTGTCAATGATATTTCTAGAAAAACAAATAAAAAATTTGTGAGGTCATATATAAAAGAAACGGCGTCGTATGATCAGCCGTAGAAACAATAGACCGGAGGACTTTTTGTCAAAAGAAAAACTACTTAACAAATATAAGCCATGGATTCAAAGGAGAGAGAAAGAGATAACGGTGGGGAACACAAAGAGGGGGCCAAATGCTCCCCTCATAAATCATCGCTCTCTGGCTTTCCCATTATCGAAAAACTATCTTCTATTTCTTTTCCATTCATTGTTGATTTATATTTTATTTTCTCTTTGATTTCAGAACACTCTCAAATACAAAAACAGAGGGCCCAAACTACCATATCCCCATAAACACCATATAAGCATGAGCACCTCATCCGCTTCCTCTCGCAAGGCTCGGTTCCTCCTCCCTCTCACTTCACTCCTTTGATTCCTTTTCAATTTGGGTTTTGTTTTGTTTTCATATTGATCTGATTTTTTTTTTGTTTTGTTTAGGCTCTTAGTAAGATTGCTTGTAATCGCCTGCAAAAAGAGCTGGTAGAGTGGCAGGTCAACCCTCCCTCCGGTTTCAAGCACAAAGTCACCGATAATCTTCAAAGGTTTTATATTGATTATCATATTTTCTTCTTTAGATTTAAAAAAATTGATGCTTTTTAATCTATTTTTGTCTTTAAAAAGGTGGGTAATTGAAGTCAATGGAGCTGCGGGAACTCTGTACGCCAATGAAACTTATCAGCTTCAGGTGGATTTCCCTGAACATTACCCTATGGAAGCCCCCCAGGTTTGATTTTTATTCGAAGCCCCCTTTTTCAGTATTTTTATTTTATTTTTCAATTCCTTTTAATAATTATGCTCTTATGGGTTATTATTGGCAGGTGATATTTCTTCAACCAGCACCTCTCCATCCACATATTTACAGCAATGGTCATATTTGTTTAGGTTCGAAATTTTGATATTTGGTTTTCCATTAATATGCTCTCAAGTTTTGCATGTATTTTTTTTATCTTTTATATAAATATATATGTATTGCAGTAGACGTGTCATGTTCTGATTTCACCTTTTGCTTTCAGTTTAATTTTTATCCATTTATCCATTGAAAATGATTGGGTTTTGGGGATACCCTTGCCTCGGTGCTAATTTGTTGTTACCTTCAAAAATGTTTTCCTTTACATTGCTAAAAGGATCGTTGATGCTTCTGTGAAATTGGATATTATTGTATCATGTATCTATCATCCTATCCTTTTCACCAAATATATACTATATGGAAAATAAAAAGTAGAATTCCAATTTCTAAGTATTCATTTTGTCTCAAATACTGTATAGGGAAAGAAAATGGATAGGCTTGTAAATGAACTGAACGTTCAACGAACCGTTCATGAACCGTGCGGCGGGAAGTTCGTTTATGTGCGTTTATTTATTAAATGAACGAACATGAACAAGATTTTTTGTTCGTTTAATTAAATGAGCAAACATGAACATAGGTCTCGTTCGTTCATTTACGTTCGTGAACGTTCGGTTATGTTCGTTTGGTTATGTTCGTTTATGTTCGTTCGATTATGTTCGTTTATGTTCATTCATTTATGTTTAACACAATCTTCTTAAATCAATTTTGGTGACCAATTTGTAAGTATCTTAAAAATATTAATCTGATATTTTGATGACCAACTCCATAATTAACCCAATTTTATTTGGAGATTAAATCCAATATGTTAACCTGTGAGGCACCTCGCACTTATATTCATTTTCCCCTTTTTTTCCCAAACCTTATTATTCACTGGAGAGTGGAGACGATCTCTGAAAGATTCAAAACAAGTTATATTATAGTGCAATATGAAGTTTTACATGTCTGTTTTCATCTCTTTCTCTGTTTTATTTGACTTAATAGTTGATATGTAAAGTTATTGTGGGTATCTTCACATCTAAAACTCAAGAAAACATAATACTTCTTTCTAGAAATAGATGGGAAGATAAAGGTAAAAATCGGATGTATATGAGCATCAGTAAAAAGAAAAATATATAGAATTTGCCAGAAAACAAAACAAAGGTTTCTATGCAATTTCTGAAAAAGAGTGTAATAGCGGAAAATGATTGTTCATATGTAATCATGGAACACTAAGATAAATGTTATAGCGTTAAATTAAAGTCGTGTGAATCATTTAATATCTTTAAAAGATAGATCGAAATATTTGATATCTTCAAACATTTCATCACTGCTAATAAGCTCTTACGCTATTTATCACTGTAGATTTGGTTGATTTGCATTGTCGACTATTTTTCATGAAAGAACAATGGAAGGTAGGGTCTCCAACGTTTATGTTCGTGTTCATTTATGTTCGTGTTCGTTTATGTTCGTGTTCGTTTATGTTCGTTTATTTATTAAATGAACGAACATGAACAAGTTATATTCCTTAATAAACGAACATGAACAAAAAAAATTTTGTTCGTTTATGTTCGTGTTCGTTTATGTTCGTTTATTTTTTAAATGAACGAACATGAACATACCTTCGTTCGTGTGCGTTCGGTTCGTTTACAGGCCTAAAAATGGAAAAATAACGTTAGAGACGTTGCTTTAAGGGGGATAGATTTGTTCTATAACTATAGGGAAAAGAAAGAGGGGAAAAAGTTACGATGGTTGCTTCGAGCGGTATAGATGTTCCTTCCTGTGCGCATCAACTTTGCAAGACTTCAACGGAAATTGATTTCTTTTATGGGGAGTTCTCTGTATTATGATGTTTGAGAACTATAGTCTAGCCTTTTCTTCTCCTTGTTCACGGCCATGGGTTGATTCTATTGTCTGTTACCGTAATGGGTGATCTTAGGCTATCTGTGCTGCATTCTCTTGATGCACATAGCTCCATTCACAAGGTCTTGGCTTCATTTTTTTTTGTGCTTTTTTTAATTGGACAATTTGGGGGATAGAATAGCTTGGGAAATGAGCTAAGGATAATATTTTTTATACACTTGCTATGCCTTTACCGCATAGTTGATTTTGTTAATGTAACAAATATATAAAATCCAGATGCTCTCTCTCACACAAACACGCATGCACATATAGTAATTTTGCTCAATTCCACATGTGTGCGCTATCTTTATTGCTTAACTATTGACATGGAAGGTTCAGTACATGATTGTTCCGTTTCATTTTTGTAGATATCTTATATGATTCATGGTCCCCAGCCATGACTGTTAGTTCTATCTGCATCAGCATTCTCTCCATGCTATCAAGCGCAACTGCGAAGGTTTGATTACACATTCAATTGATTTTCTGAATGCCTTCTTATTCCACCGAATCCTTATCTCATTCTTGTTCAGCATCCATTTGTCATGCATAAGGCGTACCACTGATTTTTTATTCCAGTCTAAAATTTTCCAAACCCCTATTAAAACTGTCTTGCAGCAATGTCCTGAAGACAATGATCGCTATGTAAGGAACTGTAGAAACGGTAGATCTCCGAAGCAGACCAGGTGGTGGTTCCATGATGACAAAGTTTAATGGCATTAGCATCTTCGTGCAGCAACTAAGTCTAATAATAATTATATATTAGACAAACAGATCCCACTTTTAAGGAGAATGCATTCTTCGAACCTTTGTTAACTCCTGTAAATGATTATATTCTGGTATTTCTTAAGAGAAAGATAAAAGATGAGATTTCCATTAGCAACTTGTAAGGAACAAAGCTCTCTCAATTAATGGTGTTTAACCCATGTGAAAGATGTTTGGTGCACTGTAAGCACTAAGAACATGAATGAGAAACCGTATCTTTCCGAAGAACTTTTCTGAATTTTATGTTCGAGCCCTTGTTATATGTTTTTAGGAACAAATAAATTTATCGAATCTTAATCTTATACTTTATACTCTGAACACTTTTGGGCCTGTTTGTTTTAATAATTTTCTTTGTATTTTCTCTGAAGTACTGAAAAAATAGCATCATTTGAATCAAGCCTGTAGTTTCCACCCTGTTTCTTAATGTAGTAGCCAAGCTGCTTTGAAACCCACTTCAGCTTCTCATATCTCTTGCAATTGAATCTCTTCCGGGATGAAAAATGTCTTCTCTGTTGGAATAGCCATGTCTACGATACTTGCTCCCTAGGCTTCCCTCTCAGCAATTACAATGTTACCCCATATGAGACTGAACGAAATGATCCCGGAACCGATGCAAAATTCATCCACTTGAAATTCTCTGATCTTATATCCAACTAGTCTAACTTCACCTTCACCATCAAATAACAAGGACGGTTTCGTGCTGTCGAGGTCTACTTCATGACCCGAATTTCATCGGCTCCAATGACAATAATAACCCAAAATCACCGCCGAAACGAAAAAATCCTTCGGATAGCAAGATCATCAATGAATTCAAAGGTATGACTATGGAGTGGACGTTGCACGTTAATAAGGAATATAACTATAGAAGTATTACCTCCCTGATTAGAGAAAAACTTACACTCGACGTGCAAGAAAAGAGTTAGGGAACTTGTTGAACAAAGGTATTTTCCCCGTACAGCAAAAGACGGCTCAAACAAAACCGAGAAAGCGAGAAAAGCTCAGCATCTACACCTATAACCAAGACTCGAAGACCGTTCGTGGTGGGATTCAGCTGTTTTCAGGAACCCTGCAAGGTTCGAGAATCTTGCCATGAAGTTAGAGCTGAAGCAGTTCGTAAAGGACGATCTCGACTCGTTTGCAGCACGCAAGGATTTATATGAAACATTGGCAGGGCATGGAAACGCGGTTACCTTTGGTTTGGTCTTCCGGTGACTGGTAAATCTTCTTTGGTTGCAGCCATTGCAAATTACCCGAACTAGAACCTGTATGATCTCCAATTCCAAAGTGTTTGAAACGATGCCGATGTAATATTGTCGTTATCAGCTTAATTCACCATGAAGTATGTGTTATTCTTTTGTAGGTGACATTTTGGGGAATATTGAATTTCGTTGATGGACTGTGATCGAGATGCGGGAACGAAGGGATCATCATTTCCGCGACCAATCACAAAGAGAAGTTAGACCTTGTGTTGTTTGTCCGGGGCGAATGGATAAGCATATTAATATGCAGGACGGTTTTGATGATTTTATGTTAGATGAACTTTTAAAATTTTAGAAATAAAAAACGGATTATCAATAGAAAACACAAAAACATCTAACATATATGATAATTTAAAATTTTCAGATACGACGATTACCTCTTGTCATCTCTTAATCTGTCCCTATTCATATGGAATGTTTTATTCCAATAGGATTTCAAAAACCTTGCCACGACATATATGTGATCAAAGATGATAAATTGTTCAACATCATTGAAGTTATGATGAAGATCATTGAGGTACTCTTACATTAGTGGCACAACAATCTATGATCAAAAGTGATGAATAAATCAATTTAAACTATCGAGATTATTTAATAAATTCATATAATATTATTCTTTAAATTAATTAAATGTAGTTGTTTAAATTTAAATCTTCTAAGAAAAATAATATTTTGTTTTATCATTGAAATCACTCAATAAAATTTAAAATAATTACTATTTTAAAATTAAAATGAAAAGTATTTTAAATAAAAAAATCAGAACAAAACAAAATTGAATATATCTAAAGAAAAAAAAGGCCTATCTAGTCTCACTCCCTAACCGTTAACAACCCTATTATTGAACCTGATTAACTTTAAAAATAGTTGTAAATCAAATAAAATATATATTGGTTGTAGTTAATAAGAGACAAGAGTTGTACCAATTAAAAGAGATCTTGTTTCTATGAGCATAGAAGTGTAAACGAGTCGAGTCGAGTCGAGTTTGAGATTGTTGAGCTTGATTCGACTTAAAAAGTATAAAATTGAATTTGATTCGATTTAAAAATTAACGAATTTAAAATTATCAAGCTCGATTCAAACTCGAAATGAAAAATTGAAGCTCGACTCGAAAACTCACGAGCTTAAAACTTTTCAAGCTTGACTCGAAATAAAAAACTGAAGCTCAACTCAAACTCAGAAAATTTTGAAATAAAAAATCTGAACCTTAAGTATATAAAAGCATTATATTTTATTTCTTTTAAAAAAAGAACAACATGTAAATATTATAAATTAATATTTTTTTGAGTTATTCGCGAGTGTTTCAAGTTAGGTGTCAAATAACTTGTTTTGACTTATTAAAAATTCAAATCAAATTTAAGCTTGAATTAAATTTATTTTATTCAAAAATTAACTAAACTTTAACTAAATCAAACTTAAATAACTTACAATCTAATCAAATTTGAACTCGAATTAAATCTATTTTAATCAAAGTAGTTGTCTAACATTTTTAACGTTGTCATTTAAGTATCAAATCTGTCACAACAGTTAAAAAAATCTCTTAAAAATCAATCAAACAATCACTATTTTTACAAGTGACCTAATTTTTAATTTTTGTTATATTAAAAATTATAAATTTTCAAAATAACATAATTTTTCCTATTTTTCAAAAATTATTCTAAAATTCATAAAACTCTAAGAATATCCCTAATCTCAAAATCAATCTCGTCGTCAACTACAATCATCGTCGACGATCACCTACTCACCCATCGATCGTCATCTATAGTCACCAATATGATTGGGATTTAAGGATTTGGATATTGAGATTCAAAAATTTAGGGATTGAGACTACGACAAGGGAATTATCTGGTAGTGATGAGTGGATAGACGGTCGATGGAGACGACAACTGTGGTTGCTAACCGACGGCGAAGTTGATGCTTTAGGATTAATTATGAAAATGCAAGTAAAAAATAGCAAAGATAAAATAATAAAATATTTTTTCGTGTAGTTAAAAAATAAATTAAAGGAATACTATTTTATGATTTCATATTTTTTTAATTGAGTTGTCGTATCATTGCATGTGTATGTTGTTAATTGAATGTGTATGTTGTTAATGATTAAGAAAAACTATAAACATATAAAATATTGTAATTTTCGAGATTATTCAATAAAAATTAAAAAAAGAATAATTATTATTTTTAAATCTACCTATAAGTAAACCAAATTTACAAATAATTTAAAAGTTTACATAATTCTAAAATTTATTCTTTGTATTATAGTCTTAAAACAATGTTTCATCACCTTTTAATAATCCTATTTTTTTATTAAAAAAACTTTTGTAGTTTTTGATGTTCAAATCTATTACCTCTAGGAATAATAATAATATCTTTAACTATTAAAATAACTCAGTTCATGCAATAATCCTCAAAATCAAATCATATGTAATATTTAATTGGAAAAAATAAATTATGCATAATTTAAAATCATATTGATTAAAAAATAACGTTTTATACACAGAATGTAATTAATATGAACTCCAATTTAAACTAAAGCTTGTACATAATTCATTTAATTAATATGAACTTCAGGTTAAAATAATTTCAATTTTATTTTCCTTAAAATATTATATTTTGAACCATCTAACAAATATAACACCCGAGTGTCGTGGTTAATCAAAAGTTATTTTAAATAGGGATAATGTCACGTTTGGTATATTTACCTTGATAATATATCAACTGTGGTATTTATATATTTTTTATCAGGTATTAACTTTAATATTTCATTTCAAGTTAAAAAATATTCATCCATAAGATAAAAATTATTTATTAACTAATAATTAATGCATTAAGATATATAATAAACATGCGTAGCATTACATATTGACGTAATAAAATTATATATAAAAGGACTAAAATATTAAAAATAATAAAAATTAAAATGATTATTTAGCATTATGCCCTTATAGTATTTGCACCCCTGAAAATGCAAGTTTATACACTATTTTATAATCTTTTATTACAGATAAAATTTAAACTTTTAAGACTTATTATTTTATATGCAGTAATAAAATAAAATGTTATTTTTATTTAATAGTATGCCACACCCTGAAATGCCCTTATAGCATTATGTGGGTGCGTTTGATTCACGAAATGTAAGATTACCGGCGGAAATAAGATTACTGAGAATGTTGCATTATTGTGTTTGGTTCGTTTAACAGGATATAAGATTATAGTGTTTGGTTAAAGGAATAAAATATTATTGGAATGTATATTTTACCAAAGTGTCCTTATTATATATTTGTTTTTTTAACAAGTTGAATTCTACTATAATTTTACTATACTTAATTTATATATTTTCTTTAAAAATATTAAATTCATAAAATATATATATATATATTACAAAATTGAAAAGATAAATAAGTTTAATAAAAGGGTAAAATTTTATTTTAACCCCTAAACTTCATATAAAATTTTAATTATGATTTTTTTTGTAAATCTAAAATAATTTAAAGATAAATTTGTAATTTAACATTTGTAGAATTGTTTTTATTCAACGACAGAAGAAACATATTTTTGAAAGAAAAAAATTTAAGGGTATTTTAGTCCATAACGTCGGGAATGTAACAATACCTAAGGGAATGGAGATAATCATATTCCCGGTAATATAGCCCCAAAATATCACTGTTAGGAATAACTTATTATCGGGGATTGAGAATGTTTGTCAACCAAACGGGAGAATGACATTTCATTTCCCACAATAATCCAATATGACCTGAACCAAACGCCCCTTATAGTATGCTCATGAAAACACCAAATTTCGTCCACTAAAATTATATTATATAATATATTGTTTTCATTTACAATTTATATTATATATATATATATATATATATATATTTGGGTTTAATTACATGTGACAGGTCCCAAGACCATTTACAAGATCCATTACACGTGGCCCAGTAGTGACCCGGTTTGGATTAGAGTTT